CGCGCGTGGTGCTCCGCTAAAAACGTTGTTTAGATATATAGTCAGTCTCTGGTCAGTCTCATCTTGCAGGCTGTCAGGCAAGTGGCAAACTGCAATCCTGGTCAAAACGTTTGAGACACTTTGCGTTTTAGGTGAGGAAAATGTTATTCAAGTTGACCCAACTCCCCCCCTGAACAGTGTTGGGTGTTACAAGTCAAATGCCTTTGACATATCTTGTACACTTTATGGACCTCAACTTTGTTTAGCGGGGGTGGGGGAAAATCTTGTTAAGGCCATGTTTATGAGTATGTATCGTAGGTTAGCTGCAAATTCCATACAAAACCAAGTGAAAAAGGGAAGGTGTCCCAACACCTTTTGGCCAGGATTGTAGTTGTGCTCGTCTTGTCAAACAACACAGTCACAGTCTGTATAGTTCTAGCTGTGTGAAAGGTTGGGTGTACAATGACTGGTCTGTATGTGTTGGTTTTCTGTGAATTATCATTCCTAGTCTGTTGTTGTTGCAAGTGAGCAATTAAGCAGTCTATAGAAAAGGTACAAGGAACAGTACGAGCTGTGACTGCCAGGCCACTTACCCGACAAGCAAAATTAACTACGAGAGAATGACTGTATAACTGAGAGTTTGACTAACAATAAATGGCTGTTTAAGGTAATTCCCTTGTTTTGCACTGTGCATCATGCTCACCTACTGTGCATAACAATTGCAACATCAAAGGGGGCGGTAATTTGCGCTGATTGCCTGAAGAGAGATAACAATGGCCTCTTTTTGTAGTCCAAATGGTTTTATTAGCGATTATGATAACACTTCACCGCTAAAAAGGTGCTGGTCTTGAAATGTGCCTGAGTCTTCTCGTGCAAAATAATCATTTGAAGCTGAACCTTTTCCTTTGTTGCCTTCTTTCGATGAATTAAGAAACTCTGCATTTTGAGCCACAGAGAGGTATGAGATAATGTTCAAACTGTCCATTCTTCTACACTTTTTAAAAGATCAGGTAATTTGAAGTAACTTAACTGAAAAATTATATCCCAGAAAAACAAATACGCCCAAGGTTTTATTAAGATTTATAGTTTTTGCCTTATGATAAGAATTTTTAACAGTTGTTCAACTTTTGCATATTTTGCACGCATTTAGGAAAAAACACTTAGCATTACAGGCTCACAGGGTGAAAACAAGCTTGGTGACCCCATCTTTTTATTGCAGTTTATCAATGTCCTATGTATGACTTTCAATTATGCCAAGTTTGAAAAAAATCTGGATAGTACATCCGTTTCAAAAGAATTAGCATGTGACATTAGATGCATCGAAACTAATATCACGACTTAATTGACCAATCAAAATAAATCACTTACATGAAAACCGGCCTACTTCCAGGTGTTGAAAATCCACATTCATTTGAGAACTTCGAACACGACTGCATAGGCTTGGTCACATGACTTATAGTGGTTTGCACTTTGAGGATTCTGCTAAAAACCTGCTGGGTGCTAAATGTCTCTATAGTCATTAATTGTCCTCAATAAATTTTTCTTTACACAAAGTCATGCATTTTTCTTTTCAGCTTGTGACGCATTTACACTTTGTGTGGATCACTCCTATTCAAGTGGTAGTTGTAGTATATTTTCTATGGATACAGTTGGGTTTTTCCTGTGCTGTTGGTATAGTGCTCACATTGATACTCATAATCCATCAGGCATGGTTTAACAGAAAATATTCTAAGTTAAGGTGAGATACAAGAGAATAGATTATCATTATAACACTTTAAATACTCATGCAGACTTCTTAGTTTATTCAGGTGTTATTTCTTAATTGGTCACATACTAAAATGTACTTGTAGATTAACAACTTAAATATGTTCTTTGGAACATTAAAGTCAAGAGCATGCACCTACCGGGTAAATACAACAAGTTAGGCAGGGAATCAAATAGCTGAGGATTTCTTTTGTTCTATTTTTCTTTTATTTCCTATGAAAGTACGTGAGGACAACATTCATAGAAGTGGTCAGGGCTGGGTCAACATTAAAACTCTTTAATTTGGTTACCCTTTGGGCAACAAAGCCTCACAATCTAGCTGCCAGAGGAAAAATATTATTTGCCCAAAAAATTTGGTACAAACAAATTAAATAAAGCTATATCTGCAAAACAGGAACCTTTTTAGACCTTTTCATTAATTCTCTTTTATATTCATGTTTAAAGTTATTTACCAGGGAATAAAAAACAAATGTTTGAATTCATAATAATTTTGTTGGTTTGCAATTAAAATGCTCACAGTAGGTAAAATTTTTATAAAATGCACCTGTAGAATCGTTTCCTGTAACAGCTTGTTTAGCCATGTCTAGACAAACTAACATGTTTCAGCCTGAACGAATAATAATTAAGCTATCCATAATTAATGGTAATGGTTGGACTTCAGTATTACATTTAATCACATTTCTTGTGTGTTACTCAATGAATATCACCAAAAATATGATAGAATAAAAATAATATTATAAAGAATTTTAATCTAAACAAAGCACAAAATCGAACATTTTGAAGGTGCTTAAATGCACAAGTTAAAGTAAATTCCCCCCGCCCCCAACCAGGGAAAAGGCTGGGACTTGAACAAAAGAACCATAAAATTGAGCCAATGTCCCCACCCCCATGGAAATATCTTCTTTCCAATGTCCTCACTTGTCCCCACCTACGTCCAGTTTAAGTAATTTTTATTTGGTGAAAATGTTTCAGACTGGTTTGGTTGTCAATATTTTGATTGCCTTATATTAATAATTATTATCATAATCTGAAACAAAGGAAAATATAAATCAAGCTGGTTTCAAAAATGTTAGATCAATGAAAATTTTGGGCCACAACATTAACATATATATGAATTTTCTAAAAAGTTTCATTGAAAACACAAAAACAGACAACAAGATAACATTAAACGACTCTATACTATAATTTTCCTCTTTTAAATTTATTCTGGAGAGCTCTAGATCTTCACACAGTTCTAGACTCCAAGCCTCCAGCTGAATTCTCCAGTTTAGATACTGAAGAAACAATTCTTGTCCAAGACCCCACGTACCAGGACAGTCAACGATTGGTTTTTGTTCTGCTAGTGTCCCTGCCTTTCCCGGGCTAGGGTGGGGGGGGGGATTATTTTTCTTTGGCTGGGGCATAACGCACACTGACCTACATAAAAAATGCAACAGTACATTTTCTCTACAGGATTTGTGCAGACAATTTTTTTACACTTCAGGTAATACTTGGAAAGGAAAACAAAAAAACGAGAAACTCGCAGTGTTGTTTTAAGCGATGCCCACCACCTTATTTGTTTTACTTTCCTCAGAATATATATAAATATATGTTATGTATCGGCTGGGAGGTCCGTATTGGGAGAAACTGTGCCTGAGGTCTTGAGTTGTTTATTTAAGATTGAAGCTAAATGCAATCATTGACAACAACCTTATTCTTATAACTAGAAAACTGGAGAGGCAAAATTCAATGAAACACGACAGGATCATCTAGATTCATACAGAAAAAATGGAAAACGAAACTACAAACAGAGCAAAAATGTCCAATAAACGGTGCATAAAAGCAAGATT